CCTTGGGGGGTAAGTCATCATATGCCCACCTTCATTTCTAATAAACTGACCAACTAAAGCAATTATTTAAATAATATATGGGACATGCTTGAAGCACATCAAATGTGAAATATAAATGCAAAGAAAGATTTAAAACTTTCCTTTTTCACTCTGTAATATGTTAATAATATTAGGCTAACATAAACACCATCCTCTGTCAAACTAAAGCATTACTTTGGGAAGTCTGACTTGGCCACGGTAGTCCATGCTCTAGTTACATCCTGTAGAGACTACTGCAACGCTCTCTACGTGGGGTTGCCTTTTAAGATGGTCCGAAAGCTTCAATTAGTCCAACGAATGGCAGCCAGGTTGTTAACAGGAGCGGCGCTCAGGGAGCATACAACCCCCTTGTTGCACCAGCTCCACTGGCTGCCAGTTTGCTACCAGGCCCAATTCAAAGTGCTGGCTTTGGCCTATAAAGCCCTAAACAGATCTGGCCCAACTTATCTGTCCAAACGTATCTCCCCTTATGAACCACTGAGGACTTTAAGATCATCTGGGGAGGCCCTGCTTTCAGTCCCGCCTTCGTCACAAGCACGGTTGGTGGGGACGAGAGACAGGGCCTTCTCAGTAGTGGCACCTCAGATATAGAATGCCCTCCCTAGGGAAATCAGATCTGCTCCCTCCCTCTTGACCTTCCGGAGGCAAGTTAAAACGTGGCTATTTGAGCAAGCATTTACAAATACAGAGTAGCTAATACGGGAAATCGAATGACCTGACAATGGAATTGGACAATGCTTGAGAATAATGAGACGCTGATGGTGTTGCTTTTATTGTTTTTATGATGTTTTATACTGGTTAATGTTTTTTACCTATTATGTTTTATGTATACTGATTTGTTGGAAACCGCCTTGAGTCGCCAATTGGCTGAGAAAGGCGGTATACAAATACAGTAAATAAATAAATAAATAACTTTGTATAGCCAGTAAATTGCCCCCAAAAGTTTTTTCTTTTAAACATCTGCTTCCAGAACTTAATCTATACTGAATCTCAGGACCATAAAACATTATTCCCAAATGCTGTTTCAGTTGAGTATTTAATTCGTTTTCAGTAATTACTATTGGCATACTTAATCTGAACCTCTGCAGTTCTAAATATGTGTTATTTCCCTGCAGAGTGTATCATTTCTATCAGAAATATTCTAGTCTTATTTGAGGTGCCTAATATTTTTAAAGTCTCCTCTACATATATAGCCAGTGCATGGAAAACATGTTCAGAATCCTATTTGTTCTCCCCAACTTGAGTAAACTTGAGTAAGTATCATAATTAAATTCCACCGATTCAATGGATTTATTCTAGTTAAACTAACAATAAGATTTTGGGTTTACCTGTCCTACTCACAACATCTCTGACTTCCTGTTGTGTGCATGGACATATTTATTTATTTATCTTACAAGCCATCCCCTGCCACGCGTTGCTGTGGCCCATATGGGGGTTGTGTGGGAGGTTTGGCCCAATTCTATCATTGGTGGGGTTCAGAATGCTCTTTGATTGTAGGTGAACTATAAATACCAGCAACCACAACTCCCAAATGTCAAGATTCTATTTTCCCCAAACTCCACCAGTGTTCACATTTGGGCATATTGAGTATTTGTGTAGAGTTTGGTCCAGATCCATCATTGTTTGAGTCCACAGTGATCTCTGGATGTAGGTGAACTACAACTCCAAAACCAAAGGACACTGCCCACCAAACCCTTCCAGTATTTTCTGTTGGTCATGGGAGAACTGTGTGCCAAGTTTGGTTCAATTCCATCGTTGGTGGGGATCAGAATGCTCTTAGATTGTAGATGAACTATAAATCCCAGCAACTACAACCCCCAAATGACAAAATCAATTTTTTGAGTGAAAGACATACATTGGGTTGTTAGGTGTCTTGTGTCCAAATTTGGTGTCAATTCATCCAGTGGTTTTTGAGTTCTGTTAATCCCACAAACGAACATTACATTTTTTTTATATAGATTTATACTCCGCCGTTCTCTACCCCGGGGTGGGGGGGACTCAAGGCGACTTACAAAGGGCACTTACCCAGTGCCTTAAAACATACAAAATGCATCTAAAAATGGTTTGGGTTAAAATTACAATATAATAAACATGATTAAAATACATTCAGGTCAAAACACGCCATCTAGAGTTCAACTGCACAAGCATAGTGCATGCAACTGTAGTGCATACAACTGTACAAATATAGGTTCAGTGTGTAGCCTTCAGGAAGTGGGGAATGTCAGACATGGCAATTTGGAGACAGGAGTAGTGGCCATATATAACTCAACTATATATGAAAATGTGTAGGAATTATGAACAGGGATATATAGTTATGTAACTCATAAAAGGAATATAAAAATTGCACATCTGTTATGCAGATTTCCAAAATACAAAATACTACAAATTGAAAACTGTCTACAAGGGTGGCTGGGATAGTGACACTTTGAGTTTCTTATAATTTAATTTATATTCAAGCTTTGTTTCATACACAAAATTACTAAAACTATTGTATACAAAATTATCTTAAGGCTATGTGAATAACAAGATGTCTGTGAAACATAAATGAATTCTGTGTTTAAATTTGGGTCCCATCTCTGAAATAACTTATTGGTATGTGAAAGAATCCAAAATCATCCCACAAACAACCCCAAATCCAAAACACATTTGATCCTAAGCATTTCAGATAAGGGATACTCAATTTGTACATAAGCAGCCTGGAAAGTACAGTTCAAATACAACCTCCATTTTACCTAGTGCAAGACTTAATTGAAATAAATGTGACTTAACTGTTCCCAACAAGACCCATTAATTTCATATGATTTACTATAGGTATAATATTGGATTTATTCCAAGGAGCACAATCTCACTAGGTAAAGAGATAGAGAGAAGTGTGTCTCACAATTCCTCTGCTGCTAGGTTGTTCCTAAACTGGATTGCCATCAGTACTACACAACCAACTATATATTAATGTCCAGAATTTCTCCTAGTCTCCTATGAGCACCATCAGTTGAATCTCTAAGATGCAGATAAGGAGAGGGAATTGGTCGACTTTCCGACACTGCTGAACTTTAGCTTCCAACCTATTTCTTCACTGGCTATGATGGCTAAGGTTATTGGAAATGAAATTCAACTTCTGGAAGACCCATGATGGGATGCCAAATAATGCTGATGATCTATTCCTGACCTTCAAACATCCACAAAATTTCCTTTAGATAGTCAGCCTTATCCCACAAAGGGTTGCTGTAAGTTTTTCGGGCTGTACGGCCATGTTCTAGAAGCATTCTCTCCTGAAGTTTCACCTGCATCTATGGCATGCATCCTCAGAGGTTGTGAGGCCCTCATTTCCCAATATAATGTTTGTGGGATAAAACAATATAATGTTTTATCCCACAAACATTATATTGGGAAATGATGGCAATACGTGGATGCTTCCACAGTACTAAGAGTGCATTTTTTCCAAATGGAAGGAAGGTCTTCCTTATAAAGAGCTATCTTTTAAAACAAGATTAATAAACATTGGGTATCACCCCTTCCTCCTCTAGCACAAGGGACATTGTTATAATGCCACACACACACGCCTTTTAATAACTTGGGAGCTTATTCGTCAATATGCTTGATCATGTAATCTCTGCTTTTGGTCACCTCTCCATCTGTTCTTTGAGAAGAATGTTGGATGTTAGATGGACCTAAGGCCAAGTCCTATAGCAGCATGTGATTTGTGTGACAGTTCGTTTATTGTGGTATCTTTTTGCATGGAGATGGTGGTTCTGGGGAAGACAGGAGAACGATCCAGCTCTAAATGGAAGCCAGGCATTTGGGAAATAGGTCCTCTGAGCTGGCCTTCTCCTTTCAGTGTTGTTGTGTCTGCCTTTTTCCTAATCTCCTTGTCACCATTTCCGCCTTGCTGACAGTATAACTATGTTATGAGAGGAATAAGATGTCAAGTTGGCTTAAACCACTTCTTTTATGAGTCCATCTCTCTCCTTGGCAGAATGAAGGAGGTTTTCTTGATTTCTGCTATGGCATTGTTCAGATAATGTACAGGGGGAGCTGGCTTTGGAGAAAATTATACTATACAACACTCAGTTTAAAAGTGTAAACAAATATGTGACAAAATACCCTACACAATTAAGGAAAGTAGAATCAATTCTGAGATTAAGACAGCAAGTCTTCCCAAGTCTAGATCTGAGTCCAAACTGATGAATTTGGTGGTTTGGAAAATTATTTTACAAGCCTGCTTTGGATGATGTTTGTCAACATCTCCAGTGACAAAGTACCAATCTTTGGAGCTATTTGCCTCCCATCCCCCTTTTTACAAATATTACTAACGAAATCTTACAACTTGGTGTCCACTAATCTCATATGTGTGGTGTAATGTGTTCAGTTTTGGACTATAACTCTGAAGACCAGGATTCACACCTTCGCTTGGCCATGGAAACTCACTGGATGACCTTGGCCAAGTCATATCCTCTCAGTCTTAGAGCAAGGCAACAACTCTCAGAACAAATCTTGTCAAGAAAACCCTGTGACAAGGTCACCTCAAAGGTGTCATAAGTCAGAAATGATGTGAAGGCACACAACAACTTCATATGTAACTGAACTATAAGAAAAAAAAACCAGATAAGAAAAAAAATAAGGAACATGGTATTCAGAATTCTTATATCTCCATGTTTAAGTCACATTAAAGCCTGAAGGAACTAGCAAAACCACTTCTGAGTATTTCTTGCCTAAGAAATCCTATGAAATTCATGGAGTCACTATAAGTTGACAGGTGACTTGAGTGCACATACACACACACAATGCCTAGCACAAACATAACCAAAATTACGGTCAAGCTTCCAAATACACCGGTATGCCTACAGTTCTCTTTCATGAAGGAAAAACACTCGTATGAGTAGTGAGCATGCCAGTTAGACAGTTCCTCCTTGGGATCAATTTTGTGTCTGCTGTTACAGGAAAAATACCTGGAAGGGACTCACCTGTGTGAAAGGGAGGGTTTCATTGAGCTCATCGAGTTCATGGGTGGCTGCATGGGGAGCTTGCCAGGAGGGTCGTTTTGGCGGCTTTTCTGGTGGCGCAACAGCAGTAACCGTCCCAACTCCTCACACCACGATGAGAGCAGTGCTGGAAAACAGAAGGAAGGTCTTTGGATGAGAAATACATATAGAGTAAAAAAAGAGAAAATATCAAGAAAGGAACAACAATGCATACTGTAGGACAAATGCCACAGCAATGTAATTTCTTATGTTGTATGACTTCCGTGGGTTTTTTTCTCTTAAAAGACATGTTTGGTGTCTATTAACCTTAAGTAAAGACTTTCTGTATATATTTCAGATTTCAGTATTAATGTCAAAAATACGTAGTATGATTTTACATAGGATTTGTGCAACATTACAACAGTAACGACAAATATCACTTAAGTAAAACAAACATTAAAAACACTTATGACCATAAAATAGAAAGAGTCACTGGAGGCTATAGAGCCAAAGTGTGAAAACTACCAGCTGGCCTAATCTGAAAGCTGGATGAAGACAGCAGTGTTTGTGACAACCACAGCCCAAACAAGCGCTGTCAGACTACATTTCCTTGTTCTCTTATCAGACAGGTCTCTTGCAAAAATAATTGCTCTTAGCAGGTTCATAGGCAAACTTAAGTATGCATGATTTATTCAATTAAATTAATCACCCCCCCCCCCCCAATGTCTATATTATTCAGAGCAAGTACTAGAATAGTAAAGAAGATGGAAGGAAGGAAGGAAGGAAGGAAGGAAGGAAGGAAGGAAGGAAGGAAGGAAGGAAGGAAGGAAGGAAGGAAGGAAGGAAGGAAGGAAGGCAAGCCTCCAGTAACTGTGTTGAAGTTGACTTGAGAGATAGGGAAGAGAAATTATGACAAGCAGTTCCAAAATAATATACTACAGCAGTGGTTCTCAACCTTCCTAATGCCGTGACCCCTGAATACAGTCCCTCATGTTGTGGTGACCCCCAACCATAACATTGTTTTTGTTGCTACTTCATAACAGTCATTTTACTACTGTTATAAATCATAATGTAAATATCAGATATGCAAGATGTATTTTCATTCACTGGACCAAACTGGGCACAAATACCCAATGCACCTACATGTAAATGCTAGTGGGGTTGGGGGAGGATTGATTTTGTAATTTGGGAGTTGTAGTTGCTGGGATTTATAGTTCACCTATAATCAAAGAGCATTCTGAACTCCACCAGCGATGGATTTGAACCTAATTTGCCACACAGAACTCCCATGACCAACAGAAAACACTGGAAGGTTTGGTGGGTATTGACCTTGAGTTTGGGAGTTGTAGTTCACCTATATCCAGAGAGCACTGTGGACTCAAACAATGATGGATCTGGACCAAACTTGGCACAAATACTCAATATGCAAATGAACACTGGTGGAGCCTGGGGAAAACAGACTTTGATTTTGGGAGTTGTAGTTGCTGGGATTTATAGTTCATTACAATCAAAGAACATTCTGAACTCCACCAACGATAAAATTGGCTCAAACTTCCTATATGGAATCCCCATGACCATCAGAAAATACTGTGTTTCCTGATGGTCTTTGGCGACCCCTCTGACACCCCTTCGCGACCCCCTCAGGGGTCCCGACCCCCAGGTTGAGAAACACTGTACTACAGTATAGTGCTGTCGTTTATAAACAGTCCAATATGTTCAACAATGCCAATGTGCTTTTTAGTTTTTCTTGAGTACCATGGCACCTAACATTTTATTTTAAATTAAAATTTATTAGACTACACAGAGAAGCCATTGAAATCCACAAGCATGTGGACAATTTCAACAGAAAGGAAGAAACCATGAAAATGAACAAAATCTGGCTACCAGTATTAAAAAACTCAAAAATTACAACAGCAAAACAACAGAGGGGAAACCAAAGTGGTTTTGGCAGTATGTTTATGTATGTATCATGTCAGGAGCAAGCCAAAGCATTTTTTAACAAACAAACCAACAAACAAATAAAAACACAAAGTTTGCAAGCTTGGTAGTTGATTAAATGTCCTTTGACCAGTAGCTGGCCACTTGGAGTGCCTCTGGTGTTACTATAAGAAGGTCCTCCATTGTGCATGTCGCAGGGCTCAGGTTGCATCACAGCAGATGGTCTGTAGTTTGCTCTTCTCCACACTCGCATGTCGTGGATTCCACTTTGTAGCCCCATTTCCTAAGGTTGGCTCTGCATCTTGTGGTGCCAGAGCGCAGTCTGTTCAGCGCCTTCCAAGTCGCCCAGTCTCTGTGTGCCCAGGGGGAGTCTCTCATTTGGTATCAGCCATTGGTTGAGGTTCTGGGTTTGAGTCTGCCACTTTTGGACTCTCGCTTGCTGAGGTGTTTTGGCAGTGAAGCACAACAAGGAGACATGAAGTATACCACCCCTGCCTAGAAGGTGATCTCTTAATGTTAGGCTTTGAAAATTATATTTCGGAATGCAGCAACAGAGGAGAAGCAAGATGCACATCTCATACCCTCCAACATTTAACAGGTGAAAACTGAGACACGTGTGGATAATCCATGTCAGAATGTGACCACAATGACAAATGTTATTAATGTGGAAGAACACACAAAGTAGCAGACGTTTGGTTTCGACTGAGTCAGCTGGGAAAGACAAGATTCTGCCCCTTTCTCTTCCCTCCCTCCCAGTTAATTAAGTGCACATTGAATTTGGTTTGCAGCAATTGGAATAAGCTGAGGACAAGGGGGAAAGTAGGAAGAAGAGCAAGAAACTGGGACTTTTTTAAAGCAGCTGAAAAAAGTGAGATGACAAGTGAGGTTAATCAGGATTCTCATTGCCAGACTGGGATAGGTGAAGGGTATGGCACCCCCAAGAATGAAATCAAGTACTTACAATGTTGTTACAAGGTGGACAGAAAGTGAAGAGCTATTTCAAAATCAGTTGGGGGTTTTTTTAATTGTGAAAAGACATACATGATCATTAGAGAGAATTCCAAAGAGAATGGTAAAGCTAGAAAAGGCACAATTTCTTTTTCGGAAAAGAAGAAGAAAGGGGCTATGATATGCCATGCCAGTAGGCCAGAATTTGCTTTTTTCTGTTTCAGCTGCCAAGGGCAAAACAGCAGCAGGATTAAAGTTTAATGAGGAAGTTTTCTACTAAGCTTGACAAAAGGTCCGTCAAGTGTATAGGAAGAAAAAGGAAGGTTAAGGTTATAACTGCTATCTGTCTCACTTTAGCACAGCCCCTGTGTGATCCTACCAACAGTTCGACTGTCAATGATCTCAGAGTGAGTAACATAAGTGCGGGTGGATACCACAACTGAAGCAGCATCAGGCAGCATGACTCAGGGAGGGAGAGGGATTTGGTTTTGGGGTTTCCAATTCTGGGAACAGCAATTGAAGAGAGATATTGACAAGCTGGAATGTGTCTAGAGGAAGGCGACTAAAATGATCAAGGGTCTGGAGAACAAGCCCTATGAGGAGCAGCTTAAAGAGCTGGCTATGTTTAGCCTGAAGAAGAGAAGGCTGAGAGGAGACATAATAGCCATGTATAAATATGTGTGAGGAAGTCATAGGGAGGAGGGAGAAAGCCGTTCAGTAGTGGAACTCTCTGCCTCGGAGTGTGGTGGAGGCTCCTTCTTTGGAAGCTTTTAAACAGAGGCTGGATGGCCATCTGTCAGGGGTGCTTTGAATGCAATATTCCTGCCTCTAGGCAGGGGGTTGGACAGGATGGCCCATGAGGTCTCTTCCAACTCTATGATTCTATGATTCCACCTGCCGATCCCTGGACAGACCTTAGCTATACCATGTTTGTGAATGGCAAGGTATATGCAGATGCCTCCTTTGAAATGTTTTAGAAGGAGTGAGACTAAATTTAAACTAAGCCACAAACAAGGTCATTGTAGGTTTTCCGAGCTATATGGACATGTTCTAGAGCAGTGTTTCTCAACCTGGGGGTCGGGACCCCTGGGTGTCAAAGGGGGTCACCAAAGACAATTGTAAAACACAGTATTTTCTGTTGGTTGAGGGAGGTCCGTGTGGGAAGTTTGGCCCAATTCTATCGTTGGTGGGGTTCAGAATGCTCTTTGATTGTAGGTGAACTATAAATCTCAGCAACTACAACTCTCAAATGTCAAGGTCTATTTTCCCCAAACCCCACCAGTGTCCACATTTGGGCATATTGAGTGTTCGTGCCAAGTTTGGTTCAGATGCATCAGTGCTCTCTGGATGTAGGTGAACTACAACTCTAAAACCCAAGGTCAATACCCAGCAAAGCCTTCTAGTATTTTCTGTTGGTCATGGGAGCTCTGTGTCCAAAGTTTGGTTCAATTCCATCATTGGTGGAGTTCAGAATGCTCTTTGATATTGTAGGTGAACTATAAATCCCAGCAACTACAACTCCCAAAAACCCTCCCCTCCTTCAGCCTCACCAGTATTCAAATTTGTGCATATCGGGTATTTGTGCCAAACTTGGTCTAGTGAATGAAAATACCTCCTGCCTATCAGATATTTCCATTACAGTTCATAACAGTAGCAAAATTACAGTTATGAAGTAGCAACAAAAATAAAATTATGGTTGGGAGTCACCACAACATGAAGAACTGTATTAAGGGTGTCTCGGCATTAGGAAGGTTGAGAACCACTGAATTATAGAGGCATTCTCTCCTGACGTTTCGCTGCATCTATGGCAAGCATCCTCAGAGATAGTGAGGTCCAACAGACCTCACTCCTCTGAGGATGCTTGCCATAGATGCAGGCGAAACGTCAGGAGAGAATGCTTCTAGGACATGGCCATATAGCCCGAAAAACCTACAATAACCCAGTGATTCCAGCCATGAAAGCCTTCGACAATACATAAACAGGGTCACTTTATATCTGCAGAGATGTGTCCCTTAAAGACAGCATTTCTATTGTTCTCTGAGACAACTCCATGTAAGCACAAAATACTCCTGTGAGCTGCCTTCCTATTAGCCAAGGAATCTGTCAACAGGCATTTGATCAAACTGCATTCATCTTTTATCCCTGGCATATCATTACTAATGTACCAGCAACAAAGGGTGCTCATCTTCCCGCCTTCCTCTCCCTTTTATGTTGCCTGGAGATAACAATCGCTACCTAACATTACACTGTGGCCACTTGAGT